ATTTGCTGCTTTAAAGTGCCTTAGATTTTGTGTTACTTATTTATCTACTTTATATTTAATTTGTATTTTGTGTCATTCATGTGGACGGCAAAGTAAGAATTTCATTATACAGGGGAACACGTTTCCTAATTGTGCATATGACAAATAAACACTTTGACCTTGACCTTGACCTATATTGTGCCTAAAAATAACTATCATATTAGATTACTGCCTGTAAGAGATATGCTAATGTGATTATTTTATCCTGATCTAATAGTTTGTTTGCACTCACCATCCTGCAGCTGTGTTTCAGATGGACAGGCTCACATTTGATTAGAGTAGGAGGTGGGCTGCTGCTCATAGCCCTGGCTGTAACCTCCATCCTCACTGTAGCCTCCCTGCTGGCCGTAGTCGGGCTGGTAGCCTTCCTGGGAGCCGGCGTAGGGGTCCCGTTGACCGTAGCCTCCCTGGCCAAAAGAATCGGGAGCAGGCTGCTTTTCCTGTGATGGAACATATGTTCCAGCAACGTTAGCCATCCAGCCAGTCTCCTTGAACACAAACCACAGGTTTCCTACCCACAGGATCAGGTTGATAAAGCCAAAAGCCTGTGAAACAGAAGGCAGATTCAGTCAGTGTTTAATCTAGTAGTAGTACTGTATTTACTGTTATTATTCTCAACTCATCTTGGACCTACCACAGAGGTATTGAGGCCAGACACCTTGGGGTCATGGACCTCTTTGCAGAGATTCTCTGGTTCCTTACAGGCTGACATGAGAGTGATGACCTTCTCTGGGTCAGTGGCTGTTTTCACATCTGACAGGCCTTTAGCCCAAGCACATGAAGAAACCAGCCACATGAAGGCAAATATTGCCGTCACAACAAAGTCCTGGGGATCAGCAAGACAAGATAGTCACTTTTACTATCAACAGCTAACAGCTGCTAAATATTAATTATAAGAGTAATTGTAGGACTTGTAGTCCAAGACGATGTAAGGAACAAATGAACTCACGAGCTTAGCCCCCTTGTTGTTTTCACGATACTTCTCCAGAATGAAACAGTATACAGAGAGGGCTGCCATAGAGTAGAGGAAAGAAAAGACACCGATGGTGACAAAGAACTCAGCTGAGGAGGAGTAGTCCCCGACCAGGAATAGACGCTCAGATTTCCCTCCCTTACAGAGGGGGGCATCAAAGTAAACCTGATGGAGCCTGAGAATAGCAAGAGCCACAGAGATAGAAGTGAACAAATGCGAGAAGTGCAAAGAGAGAAAAGGCTAAATGATGATACAGCTGAGACATGGAGTGTATTTTAGATACCTGAACTTGTGTAGTGATGATTATAGGACAGTAGTTTAAAGGAATAGTGAGACATTTTATATTAGATGAGGAGATGCCTCATGTTTGCCTGTTAAATATGAAGCTGAAGCCAGGAGACATTAGCATAAAGACTGGGAACAGGAGGAAACAGCTGCATGGCTCAGTCCAGAGTTAAAAAAGTGCTGAATGTGCCTTTAGTTTAGAACTCTATGATTTCTTTTTCTCACTTCTACAACAGTGGAGACAGTGACAACAGAATACATACCTGAACGGATATTCAAATTCTACTTCTATGCCTAGGTCACTCTCTGTCCGGTTTTTACACTCCACGCTCATCTTGAACATGCCAGAGTAGCTGCCACATGTCGAGAAGGCGAAGATTGCAAAGATCTGCAGGTTGAAACAGAAAGGACGAAAAGATGTTGTGATTTTGACAACTCATTCAGTGACCTTTGACAACTCCCAGACATCTGTGGAACACAAAGCAAGGTGATTATTTTAGATCACTCTTTGGTCTATGACTGAATGATCACACATTACCTCTGTATTCCTGTTTAGTTCATATGATGCGTGTAAATAAGGAGTGTAAAACAGGTGACACATTCCATTTTCACTTAAGCAGAATGATGCTTTCACAGTCATGGTTGAAAAATGCACACAGAGTGCAAATTAATGCAGCATTATCATCAGGTTACGCAGCAAAGTCTGCCCCTGTTGCCATAGTTACCATTACATTTAGCTGAAGTCGTTTTTCGTAGCAGAACAGTGATTGTGCCTTTGTTCAGAATCTGTTAGTTCTGGTGCACAGTCACATAAACGGCACAAACAGACTTGTGGAGATAAACTCTCGGTCACACGGACACAGCAGATTAGACAAGACAGACTATTTTTACCACACCCTCCCTACGCTATAGGCTAGATCCAATCAGATGGAAAATCCAGCTACTAATCTGACTGAGGTGCTCTACAGTACCATCTGTCAGCACAAACTCAACTACAAGCTACTGTAAAGCTAACCTGTTTATTAGACTTTCACACGTGAAAGCCTAATAAACAGGTTTTAATAATCATTGCAAATGACTGTAGGTGTGATGAAAGTGGCATCAAGAGCGTGAGAGGAGGGGATGAGATGTCTGATCACAGATCATTACAAATTTCATGAAAAGAAAAAAGAGTCATTTACTGTCCAGAGGGGAACTGTAAAGAGCCAACCTAAAACAAAAATAATGTCTACATTTTTTGCAGTCTTTGTTGGAGATATGGAAACTTATCAGATCTATACAATATTTAAGCTTCATTACAGTTTTGTGTCTGCCTGCAAGAACCAGGAATATCACTAAGTTCAAATGGGGCATTGATTACGGTGTCCATTAACTTATTGTTTCTGATTAACGATCTAGACAGTTTTAACTCTGTTGTATCAACTTTCAAAGAATCTCTTTCAAGTCTCAAAATCTGTACAATCATAAGAAAAGGTAGCAAAATGTGTGTTGTGCTTGTGCAGCATTTTCCCTTTAACCCAAAATCCTGCAGCAGCTGTGCAATGAATTAGTACCCATGGCATTTGCAGAACATTATTACTGCAGCACAATCTTTCACCCGGAGCACATGATGACATAGTTTATCCTAAAAAAATATGCTATACTTCTCATTCTGTTTGGTATAACTGTCTTCTGGTATTAACTATTTTATTATTGAGGCTGTTCACAGGGTTTAGAGCTCCCAGTGTCCATATTATTCTTTCAATATCCTAGTGACAGGTTAGGATTACATGAAATGGGTGGTAACCTATATCATTTTCTGCCCCACTTTGCCTTGCTCTCTTCTTCTTCAGAGACAGTTTGGAAAAAAAAGCAAACTCACTCTAACAATGGATGGATTCTCTACTTTAAAAAATAATCATTTCCCTGCTGTTTCAATTGAATCATCCTAAAGTAACACAATGTTATAAATCAATGGATTTGATTCACATTGGCATGATAAGAGGAAAAAATTGAGGGATACTCAATATTTGCATATAATTAGATGCAAACAAAGTTGTGGATACTTTCCTGAATAGTTTTATATCCAGTTGGAAATGTAACACACGTTCCCATTGAATTAAATGAGAGTGTATTCAAACTTTTGCCTGGTAGCGTATTATTATAACACAAAACAGGCTCAGATGTAAGGGTAAAATAACCATTTTGTGAGTCGCTGTTTAAATCTCAAGAGACACATATTAAATTGTAGTAAAAGGACTGAATCTAGAGCCGCAGCAGCTCTGTGAGCCTGTTCTGAGCACATTCTAGCATGTTAGCATGTAACTTGTCCATTGCTTTAGAGTCTTACACATGCTAACATGCTCACACTGATATTATGTTTACCATGTCCGCCATCTTAGTTTAGCATGTTAATATGCTAACATGAGCTAATTAGTACAAAACACAAATGTACAGCTGAGAATGCCAGTAGTTTTGCAGTGATTTGCTAAGAATCTAAAGCAATGGACAAGTTATAAAGACAACCTGATAGTGATGCTAGTCAAAAATAAAGTCATCCAAGTTATTATAACATGAATGTATGTGCAAAGTTTCACAGCTATACGTCCAAGGTATTTCCAGACACTGCACTAACTGCTACAAATGCCAACTTCATTGAGGTGGTAGAAGAAAACTCTTGAGGATCACCATTAATCGTTCCCAGCTTTATTTGCTGTAAGACATAAATGACTGCACAGCCATGCGCCAGTTCCTCCAACAGTCCTCCGATATTTCAGTCTGAACCACAGCAGCGGACTTGAGCCCTTGAGCAGCACCTCTAGCATGACTAAAAATCAGTAGCAGGGTGTCAGAATCTTAATGAGGGCTGTACGCTTAGTACATTTTAGAGCTGTACTTTTATGGAGATAGATGAGTGGAAGGAAGAGTGATGGAGGAGGAAGAGAGGGGACAGTCAGGCTGAGTGGAGAAATGGTGGTGCACAGAGTGTTTGGTGCCATGGTAACACTATTGGCAGCACCACACAGTGAGGAGGTAGAGGCTGTTTCTATCCATCCTGGTATGCTGGATGGTTGTCAGGTCTTCTGTGCTGAGAAAATACACACTCAGACACAAACAATGCATCTGCTACTGATTTGCTTACAGTCTCTCTTTCTCTTTCAAAACTGATCCATATTAGGGCCTGACTGCTACTGGTATATTTGAGACTGATACTGATGCTGATGTTTGAAGGTTACAAAACATTCCATAGTGATATAGTGGCCAATTGGTTTTCTTTACATAAACACATAACATACACAACTTTAGATTAAGAGTTTGTTAAACATGAGGTTTTTTATTATTATTACCAAAATACATAGTGAGTGGAACATTTTATAATTGAAAAGTAAACTCACCAGTGCTCTCTTGTGTTCAAACTGTGTAATAGCAACACAGTTTCTAAATTATCTTTGGTATTTCTGCACTGCCTTTTCTTTTTTTTTGTTAGTTGGTGTTCCACATGTCTATCTGCAATAGCCTAAGATCGACCTCTTTATCTAGCTTTTATTTAACATTTTGTGATGATAGTCAATAATTACAAATTTGACTAGTTTATGGTATAAATATTGCATACTGTTCTAGTTCATATGCAACTAAAACTATGACACTCATCATTAAAAGAGGAGGGTTACGAGATCCTTAGCTGTGATCCACCACTTTTAGTGCAAAATGTGACAAAGGAACAGCCTGAATAAATCAGTGGTCTCTTCCAGGATGACAGAGCCCCCATCCATAGGGCATGAGGGGTCATTGAATGGTTTGATGAGTAGGAAAATGATGTGAATCATATGCTGTGACCTTCATAGTCACCAGGTCTCACTGCAGCTGAACAGCCATGCAAGATGTTGGAGCGATGTGTTAGACAGCGTCTCCACCACCATCATCAATATCTTTTGGAAGAATGGTGTTCATCCCTCCAGGAGAGTTCAGGGACTTGGAGAGTCAATGCCAAGGTGCACTGACTGGGGGTGCGACTGTAGTTCAGTGGGTAGAGCAGTCGTCTCCCAACCAAAGGGTAGGAGGTTTGAATCTCAGTGCCTGCAGTCCACATGCTGAAGTGTCCTTGGGCAAGACACTGAACCCCCAAGTTGCCCCTGATGGTTAGAGCCATCGGTGTGAGTTGGCACCACAGGTGATTATTATTATTATCCTTATCCTGAAGCTGTTCTGGTGGCACGTGGTGGCCCAGCACCTCACTGAGACACTTTATTGGGTTCTCCTTTCATTACCTGTCTATACATCTAGTGATGCTTCTGAATGCTGTTAAAGACTATGTATGATGTCTGTGTTCAGGCAGAATCCTCAGTGGTTACCACCTCCGCCATCGGTGTGTGTGAATGTGTGGATGAGTGAATTTGTAAAGCGTTTTGTCCTGTATGGTAGAAAAGCACATTTACTATTTACCAAGGCTCTGATGCATGCCAGCATATAGTCAGAAGCAGAGAAGTGTAGAATATAACACAAGCTGTATAAGCCTTCCGTGCAGACCCTGGAGTAATAACCACAGCGAATGTCTGAACAGCAAAACCCCAAAGCTACAACAAAATCAACAGCTTTTATTACGCATTAGGGACTATGCCAGAGTGAATAAGGTGCTTTACTGGATGTTCTCACAAACAGCCTTTTTATGTTCGCTGGGAATGAGTCAGAGAGTCGAAGCTGAAATTCAACACAGCAGCGTGATCCTGTAGTGGCAGAGGCAGCAGGTTGTTTGTGTACACGGTGGCTGAGCTCAACATCAGCTGTATTAGGGAACTCAATGTCTTCCAACATCCATCAAATCTAGACTTTGTCAGCACTCTTCCCCAGAGACAGAAAGACAGGGCAAGGTGGAGTGGGGAGGTGGGCAAAGCTACATGAGTCACACATACAGGGCACTGTTTGAATCACACACATTTAGTAAAAATTGTGCTCAGAAGCTTTTGAGGATATGTGTCATGCTCAAATCTAGAAAACAGATCAAAAGCTCTCACATCCTTGACTCCACATACATGACTGGTCTCAGCCGATGCCATCCATTTCCATTTACTCTACTCTCTCCCCTGCTTTAAAAGCATATCAACACGTATGACTGGCAAAAAAGATTGATTCTCTTTCATACTAAATTCATTTCCATCCTGCCTGTTCCCACTGAATTCAGTTTCAAAAACTGGACCATACTTCTGAGAGGTGACTCCCTTCTACCCTCCTAAAACCACTGTGCTGTAGGCGATGCATTAATCCAGAAAGAGCAGCAGCTCTGGCAACTCCTCCTCTAGTCTGACGCTCAGGCACACAGATGATTCATGGGCCCTGGCCTCCTGAGCACAGCTGCTGATTGGTGGTTGGCTAACCCAGGGAGGCAGCGATGAGGTTCTGGCATGCTCACACTGCTCCAGGGAAGGACTACAAAGTCATGCAGTACACTCATGCCTCTGACTGTTTACTGGCAAAACTGCAGTGTGGGACTCAGAGCTGCTTTGGCGCACACACTTTCATCTGAGTTGCATTATGTTCTCAAACTGAGAAGCAGCATCGTAGCTAAGTGTTATGGGATACAATCACAGTGGAGGTACTATCCCACCCTCAGTTTCCTTCTCATCCACCCTCCCAAAATGTACATAGAATTAAAGGGATGCAACAAATGATTATTTAATTAACAATATATCTGTTGATTATTATCATTATTAGTCACTGTGGGTGTAAAATGTCTGTTATGATTTCCCACAGCTCAGGGTCACCTCCTCAGACAGCCATGTTTTGTTAGAGCATCAGTTTTCCGTCAATAAATTAAACAATTAATGGAGTAATCATTGCAGCTCTAGAAATGATTTTCATCACCATGTTAATGAGGAAAATGGCTGGTGTACCCTGATAACATAACATGACACGACATAAGAAAAGACCCCTCGTACTGGCTGTGATCACTGCATGGCTAATTTGGACCATTCCCACCACTGTGATGCTTCAGTTGTGTAGAAAAAACCCTGCACATAGTAAACCCTGCAGTCTGAGCACGCTGCAGGACAAACTGTGTGCAACACTACACAAGGATATCTGTGGCTTATTGTGTAGTTTACTAAAAACATCTACAACATCTACAAATGTTGTTGAATAGATTGAAGTAGGACTGCAACTAAGTATTTTTATTATCATATAATCTGCTATTTATTTTCTTGATTAACTGATGGATTGATAGGTCTAACAGAAAATTGTAAAAAAGAATGTTCGTTTTTATTTGATATTATTTATGATTAAATAAGACAAAGAAAAGCAGCAAAAAGCACAAATGAGTCGCTGGAACTTAGGAATGTTTGGCATTTTTGCTTAAAATAGGACTTAATACTAATTGATTCATCACCCACTTGTATCAACACTAAATGAATTTTTGATTATCTGTCTGACAGGGTACAGTATCTTAAGTGGGCCATGTTTATGGTATTTCCCCCAAGAATAAACAAATACAATTTAAAAAAAACTCTTTCTGTAACCTCCAGAAATTCAGTAAATCTGTTTATGCTGTTCTCTTTGCATAAACAAATAAATGAATAGTTTGCTGATTCCTACATTTGATGGAGGAGAGCGGAGAGTGTGCACATCAAACAGAGGTAATAAAAAACAGTACCAGTGTGCAGAGATGTCCTTTTAAGAAGGATTTGACAAAGAGTCATATTTCCTCAGTGGACTTTCACAGTGTTACTACAGCTGTGACATCCTGCTGGTGTCTCCTATTCAAGCCTGCTGGGGCAGGATCAACGTAACCACTAGGATACAAAAGACTCGGTCATTCTTTGAATATAATTAAGAGTATTAGATCTAAGAAGGAGTCTGTGTTTCTGAACACCTGAAGCCTAGACAGGAATCAAATGTGAATCTTTTTTATGAATGTGTACTGTTACATCCAAGCTAGTAAACTAGTACTCTTATTAATATGGACTTCTTGAATTAAAATGAGACATAATCGTGCATCGCCCTGTGACAGACTGGCCTCTCGCCCAATGTCAGATGGGACTGGCGATCCTATTCAGGAATAAGCGGTATAGATAACAGATGGATGAATGGATAATCATTCATTGTTGCTATTTGTTGGGGTCATGGATAAAAATGTAAAACAGGACTTACCCATTGTAGAACTTTTATAAATCCCAAAGGCTGTTTGACTACGACGAACTGGCCTTGGGCCACCAGCTGTCGAAACACAAAAGTCAGAAATCAGCTCTGGAGTTTTTAACATTTTCATAGTGAGGCTGGCTGTCACTGTGTGAAATCAGCTTCTCTCTCAGCAGACCAGAGCAGGTGTGATGGTGATATGATGGTGCTGATTTAAACATAAACCTAATTACCTGGGCCTCATAGCCCACAGACCTGTCTGCTGCTGGCACCTGCAGGTGTTTATATAGCAAATATCTTCCAGTGAATAAAGCGAGTCAGCTGTCAGCTCTGCATCTCTGTGGCCTGGGGGAGGCATGGATAGCAGTATAGTAGTTTTGTCAAATGCTGTGGTGTGTGTGCGTGTGTGTGTGTGAGAGAGAGAGAGAGCGAGAGAGCTCCAACCAGCATTACAAACAAACAGAGTCGAATACCTGACACTTCTAACTTGTCTCTTGCGACACACTTCACAGCACTCCTTTTATTCATTTATGAGAAAATCTCGCGAAATGTGTCGAACTGAGGAGACAAGAAGTGGACGCGCGTTTGTGCGCAGGTGAATGCGACACCGCAAAGAAGGTGGTGCGCCCCTGCGTGCATCAATAAATGGCCGCAGCAGCGCTGGTTTTCTCTACTGTCACCACGCCGCTGTTTCTCCAGCTTGTCCGCGCTATGGATGACAAACATCCATGTTAAACAGATGACGCATGAACGGACAGTATTCACGTTCAGAGCAGTCGAACAGCCTGATCGCAGCTCATTTCCCAGGAAAGCCTTGTTGGCTTAGTCACAAACCACATAGCTGTCTGGGAGATGAGCTTTTCGTGGTCACTGAGATGTCGGGCCTACTGCAGCGATCCGAAAACACCGAGGGCCTTGGAAATTAATCAGATTCCCCTTTGTTATCTTAGCATCTGCGCGCTAAATGAGACGTGACCAATCCAAATCAATTAGGCGATAGTAGGCTACATCATCTCCTTCCTCTGCTAAATGTCACTGGTGCAGCAATCTCTGCACATCCTACACATATTTGGACATGATGGGCCGCTCCATCATGTCGACTGCAACATCCCTAGAGGAAAATTGTACAGTTCCATCTTGCTCTGCCCTCACACAAATATGATTTTTAAATAAATGCATAAATAACTTGATATTTCGAGTCCAAAGGCTCGAAAGCTATACATTAAAACCTAAAGGTCGTTTGTCTATGACAAAAAACATCTTTATTAAAGCGCACGACAAACGAAAATGAGAAAAATAAATAAACCTCAGATACCAAAGAAAGGTATAATGAAATAGATGATTTCCTGCCCCCCAAAGCCTTACCTGGTTTACAACATCCATCTTGGCCGCTTACTCGCTGATAAGAGGATCAGAGGGGCGGAGGGAGGGAGGCGTCGCATCCGGAACAGTTCGGGGGAGGAAGACGTCCAGGAGGAAGAGCTGGACTGCGTCACGACCATATCTATGCTGGGCCAGGACGTGAGAAGCGTCGTGACGTCAGACAAATCATTGGACGTGGATGAGGACGGGCCGAGCCAATCAGAGCGCTGCTTTATTCTACGGGAGCTGAGACTGGCCGGGGGTAATAATGAAGATAGGAGAGGCACGGAGACTGTTGAGTGATGTACAGGGTAAAGAGAGGCTGATGAGCTACTGCTGCTGCTGCCTCTCATTAGCAGGCAGCAAAATCACCTGACATAAACAAAAACAGTTTTTCTCTTTCAGTAGGGAAACCTTATTCTGTTCCTAACAAACTGGGGAAGTTCAAAAAGAACTTAAAAAATGCATTTCCTGAAGAAAATGCATATGGATGCTGATTGCTGAGGAATCGCCCTGAAAATGCTGAAATGGCTGCTGACTCAGTGTCCACACAATTAATAAGGGCTGATTTTATTTAGAATAAACCTACAACTTTGCCCCCAAAATCTATTTTCATAATGTGTTGAAGCCTCTACACACCATAGTCCCACTGCTGAGATCTTCTCAGGACTGTTATATCCAACCAAACAGGCCTATTCATCATCATCATCCTTTATTAGGAGACTCAAGGTCCATTCAAAAAAAGAAATAAAAGAAAAAAAGAAAGGATATAAAAGAAGAAAAATAAATAAATAAAAATCATAAAAGACATTTATACCAATGTTTCCACAGAGAGGATTGGTAACGTACTACACTAAAACCAGGATTAGCCAGCATCATTATAAGACTGTTCTCAGAGTTATTCACACGACAGATAAATCTGTACATCAGGTTTCTCATTAATGCCTGAAAGGTACTAACATGGACCTGTGAACACAACAGACTGGCGCTGGTGGACCTAGGCTTCTTAAGCAGAATCCTCAAGGCATCATTATAAGCAACTTTAAGTTTCTGTAAAGTAGCTACCTTATATTTACACCACAATGGGGCAGTATACAACGGTGTACAGTATGTTCTGAACAGATGAACTTTAACATTAGCAGAACACATGTGAAATTTCCTAACCAACATATTAGCTTGAGCATACAAAATGCGACACTGCCGATATATATCCTCATCATCAGAAAGCTGATCTGTAATGAAATGTCCTAAATATTTAGTTTTTCTACAGACACTCAACCTTTGTCCAGACAAACAAAAGTCTGGGAAACAAAGTTCTTTGTCCCCTTTAGTCCGACAGATCAGTACAACACTCTTTTCTGCATTATATTTCACATCATACTTCAATCCATAGTCCGAGCACACATTCAGCAGTTGCTGAAAACCAGCACTGCTGGGCGAAAGTATGGCCAAATCATCAGCATACATAAAATGATTTACAAGATTAGGGCCTATCATACATCCAGTGTTACATTTATTCAATTGTTCAGACAACTCATCCATATATAAGTTAAACAGGGCTGGTGACAGTAGCCCCCCCGGCGCACCCCATTACAAACACCAAACGAGGCTGAAATAGTCCCACCCCATTTAACCTGCATCTTCTGATTACAGTACCAGTATGCCAAGATTCTTACAATGCTATCAGGAACCCCTTTTTTGCTTAAGTTATCCAAAAGCTTAAAGTGATTAACCCTATCAAATGCCTTGGATGCGTCAATAAAACCCATCAAGACTGAAGAGTTTTGTCTGAGGTACTTCTGTGCTACCTCCTTCAGACTGTAGATACACAGATCTGTCCCCAGCTTGGATTTAAAACCAAACTGATTATGTGTGGTTGCTATACAATGACACAGGCGATCAAGCAATATCTTCTCAAGAACTTTAGATATAACACTGGCCAAAGCTATTGGCCTATAGTTATCCAGACTCCCAACTTTGCCAGCTTTGTCCTTCATAACAGGCACTAAGGTAACAGACAATAAAGAATCAGGTAGCAAACCATGAGTCATGAACCCAGAGAAGCACAAAGCAAGCAACACAGCAATCTTTGGGCTTGCATGCTTCAGATGTTCCGCTGTAATATTATCCGCACCAGCTGCCTTATCATCAGACAATTGCATTATTGCTCGATGCACCTCACTAGAAGTGATCACCACAGCATCCTCACTAGCAATGCTTCCCACTACATAGGGATCACTTTTAACACAATTAAACAATGCAGAATAGTGTTCTCTCCACAGATCAGCAATATTATCAGCCCCAGATACTCCCTCTATGGCACTGGGCAGTGGGGAATTAACCCTATTCAGAGCCCTCACCTCATTCCAAAATCCCAAAACATTATTGTGTGCCAATTTTTCAGCCATAGCATCCGCTCTCATATTCTGTTCACATTTAGTGATATAGCGAACAGCATATTTATACCTTGCCCCAGTGATCTTTTTATTCTCCAGTTCAATTCCAGCCCTGGGTCTACCTACTTGCACCCATTCCTTATACGCTTTTATAGCTTCTGCATGATGTACCGCAACATACTTCTTCCAGCCTGGCTTGAAGTTTTTAGCCATTATACCCGTAAAGTATGATCTACTACTCTCATAGATAGCATCAGCAATACCTTCATACATTACACAAAGATCCCTAGAATGAGAAGTATCCTTACAGTTAACATCCGTACACATAATGGCCTGTCTGGGCAATTTTACCTTACTTAAACCATTATCTGTCATCATACAATATGTGGCAAGATCATCTTTTGAAAGTTTAGCCCAGCACAACTTAACCTTACAACCATCATTTACCCTGTGTGTCAGCTCAGGAAGATTGTTTATATCCAGCAACATAACAAACGGTACATGATCTGTCATAGAATAGTCATATAAGATTTCCATAGATTTCAAGACAGCATGTGCATCAGCAGTGCTAATGCAATGGCCAAGCCATGACATTGTATGCCATGCTTCACTTATATAGGTATAGCTATCTGCTGGTAACAATGACTGACTGGACAATATATACCGACTATCCTCACAAAACTGCAGCATATGCTTAGCAAATGCCGACTGACTGTCCAAGATATCAGCATTCATATCACCTACCACACAAATGGATGTACAGTTATACTCACAAATAAAAGAGTTAATAAAAGCAAGTCTATTCAAATACAAATCTTCATTCTGTAGACACTCATATGGCATATAGACATTCAAAATGACAAACTCCTTATTAGCCAACTTCAAATGAACAGCAATACACCAGTCGACCCCAGTCCTTACCACATTCATCACTGAGTCCAATCTTTTATGCCATAGGATAGCCAGGATATTCAGTTTTACTATCATGACAAAAACCATCAAGGCAAACACCACTGGACAAGATGGAAACAGCTAATGTTGCAACTGCAAATCCATTTTTAACAAAAAAGAACGGCTGAAGCAAATAACTGATAGAGTCTGACAGAGCGGTGAACAGCAGCCTGTTTGTGGTCAGACAATGTGGACAGTGTCTCCTCCCAGCAGCCCACAGCTTTAGATTATGAACCAGAAACTCAGCAGAGAGGACATCTGAATCACACTGAGCCTGAAAATTCATTCCTTGATCTAGACTGTGTAGATTCATGACTGGATTAAATAAAACCCATAAAACCACACTTGATATTAAGGTTGTGTCCCGGTGTCTGGGCTCTTTGGGGCAGTATTCACTCCGTGGTACCGGCTGTTCACTCTGTGTTCAAAAGCAGAGACATCCTGTCGCTTAATATGAAAGAATCGCCTGTTTTCTGGAAACACTATGATCAGCTGATGGAGATCAGCGGTACATAAGCAGTATACCTGCAGTGGTAAAACAATTATCGGTGACGGGAGAGGAAGTGCGCGGACCAGTCATCCAATCACCAACAAGGATGATGAGTGGGTGTAGCTACAAGTTTTTTAAATTTCCAACCGGTCGAGGCAGAAGGCTGCCCACATTGAGTTGGGGTCTGTTGGAAGTTTCTTCCTATAACCCCTCTAAAGGGAGTTTTTCCTCTCCACTGTTGCCAAGTGCTTGCTCAAGGGGGATTTGTTGGGGTTTTCTCTATACTGATGATGATGATGATGATGATGATGATATCCAGACCTTACTATGTAGTGTGCTGAGATGACTTATGATTTGTCGCTATACAAATGAATTGAATTATACAGTCAAGTGTACAGGTTCACACCATGTAGAATTACTTCCCCAGCCACAGTTGTCGCCTGTGCAGAGGCATAGAAATGTAAACTACTGTCAAAGAAGCATCAGGTATTTCTTAAGCACATTTTGTGTAAAATCTTAATTCATAAAAATTGTAACTGAAGTAAATGTATAGTGAAAACTACATGAAGCACAAGCATGTTTCTGGAGACTGTTATTGATGGACGGGGTCGACACTGAGGTCAGTGTTTCAGATTCTGGAGTCAGAAGTTGTTCAAGGTTCTTCTCTTCAGCACCAAGTACAGTGCAAGTTGTTTTGCTTTATAAGCTCGTGTCTTTTTGCTAAAACATAGCATTTAGTATACTGTAAACTCAAGCTGCACTAACTTAAACGTAACATCTTCTGGTTAAGTCGTAGCAGTGATACATTAAGTTGGGTTTACAATAAACATATAAGCTTATGCTGCTACTAGCTGTCATTCCGCTTCTTTGGCCACGTGTAATATTGATCTGTATACAAAAAAAAATGTGGTAGTGTTTTTGTTAGAAACAAACGTGCATCATGAAACTAATTTCCTGAATGCTAACTTCTCCTGGTAATTTTGCCTTAAGTAGAAAGACCTTGTTACTAAATATAAGCTTTAACATTAGGTTCCTGCTGCTTTGTCATCTGTTTGAGATTGATTTTCAGCCACAATGTGTGCTTGTATTTCCATATAGACATCATAGACTGATATGTTAACCTTGCCTTAGTGTCTTTAAAAACCATGGAGCTACCAGTGTGCAGAGCTTCTGATGGTACCCCCAGGAGTCATCAGTCTCAATAACATGACTCCTGGAGCTTTAATGTGGCTGTAAAATTCAAAGTTTTTTCAGTGTCCAGGTA